GACCAAGAGGCCAAGGGCAAAAATGTTAAAAGACGTAGTGTGCTCAAACACTGACCTCAAATCACATCTGTATTATATTTAACAAGATTTCCAGTAAAGAGATTTTTTGTGTTTATTTTACTATTAATTGCATTCAAAGTAATTTCCTGAAAACATTTTCCTACGGAGGTTATAGTTTAAGAGTTCTTCTCATTTTGTTTTCACCAAACTTGGACTCCAAATAGTTCTCTAAAACCAATCTCTTAGTTTCTTCCCAGACATTCTTGCAACCAAAACTCGCTGTTTGTGTATTAAGCATCTCATCCTCTTCTTTAGACGTGTAAAGCGAATTACTTTCCTTTTTTAAGAACCTAAATTAAATAGACTATATATTAATTGACCGAAGTTTTTAGACAACAAAGTTCACTAAACAAATTTTTACCAAAATTTTATCCTTTCATATGATTTTTTTGATGAATTTTTAATTTGTGGTCCAAATTTAATATATCAGACCATCATCCCATAGTGTACATGCCACAGGCAAGTGGTCCAATGTGGAGTATTGATGGATAAAAACTTCAGGCTTGTATGTGGATGAATCTTTTTAAAATAAGATTATATTCGGATCTATTATTACCAAAATAAACTTTAAATATCCACTTGTCCATCAAATCGCATATATTAATTTAAAGTAAGGGATATAAGTTTGGAGAAGTTAAACTAAATGTTGTTCAATTGTGAAATTAATTATAATAATTTATGACAAGAAATCAAATAGTATCACTAAGAACATATACTGATAATTACAATTAAATTTTCAACAGAAACTACACAAACATAAATGATAAAGGAACAAACCGAGCCTGCACATGTAGCAGTTTCTCTTGAAAACAGATTTCGCTGGCCTCACGGGTCGAGGTGCATGAGGAATCCTGGCCGTCTGTCTATCATGCAGGGGGAAAGAGGGATACGCACGGTTAACAAAACGGACGAAGCACTCTCCTGTCTAGCTTAGCGAACAAAAACACTGGCAGCACTCTCTCACATGTAAGAAACTTTCTGGCAAACTGACTAAAGAAATGGAAGAAACAATTTCTGTGTTGGAGACTTGACAGGAGGTCTCAATTTATACACGGTAAAGGGAGAAGAGGAGAAGCCTCCAGCCTTTATGGCTGGTAATTAATACACCATTAACCTCTGCGAATAAAGGCATGAGTTACAAACCTCATTAATGCGAACATTTAACACTCTCCAATAGAAAGACAGGTAGTTACCAAACCCCATTAATGCACTATTTAAACTCTGTAATTAAAGACAGAAATTACAAACCCATTAACTCTTTCAATGAGCGTACTTGCATGGGGCAAATTCTCATTCCAAATTTCAAGACTGGTTTTGGCCTATACTATTTGTGGTTAAAGACTCTCATTGTAAAGATCGTAGACCCACTTGGACCCAACACAAACTGGTTGGGACCTCATTTTAATTTAATTTAATGTCACCAGAAAAATTATTTTTTCCACACCTCAAAACAATTTAAGACGGGACTCCATCTATTAAAAAAGATAAAATAAGACTAGACAACATATGCTCAAGAAATTTATCTAGAACATTCAAATTTACAAACTCTTTATCATCGGTTTCCAAGTTGATAAAATTTGATCAATAAGCAAACAATGCGCATGTGAATTTTCAAAAAAAACAAAAAAAAAAAATAAAAACCGTCATAGGTTGTAAAAGTTATTTGGTGCCATGATATGATATATGTCACAAACTATTTTAGATTTTTATGATAACGCCAACAGATCTCATGTAATTTACAAAAAGTAAAAAATTGGAGATGGTGTTTGTAACAATACGTCTAATAACCTCTCTTCGAAATTGGCATAGGGTCGGCTCGAGCATGTAGGAGGTTCTCAAGTCAAACTCGGCAAATAAGGCCTCTTACATTCGAAAAAAAAGAGTTCAGCGGAATAAAACGATAAGTTAAGACAACTTTTTTATTTGTTGTAACCACAGGAAAAATTTACTTACTACATAAATCATTAATTAATAAATGAAAAAAGTTGTATTTTCATGTGTATTAAGATAGGAAGCTAATGTATTGCAAATTACTAAAAAAAATAAAAATCATGATCTTTGTTACTTTAATAGTTTTAGCAATCATACAAGTTACAATTGAAATCACGATCAAGTTTCGCAATTGGGCCTATAGGTATTTGGGGCTTTTTTTTTCTTTTTTTTTTTATCTCTAAACACAAAAGTTTATAGTTTTGAGGGTCCCTTTTTATCTGTCCAAAAATTTTAGGGCCCAAGGCCCTAAGTCTCCTTGCCGGCCCTTAGAGCCGGGCCCTGAATTGGCCTGGCGGCTTTGCAATGGTCCCAAAGAACCTTTTTGGGTGTCCAACCGAGCTAAGTGCTGAGATGCTTGACATTGTTTGGAATTGACCTCTCTGTCACCAAGTCAAGAGGGCTGTACGGTCAGAAGAACAAGTTTCACTAAAAGTGTAAGATGATGCTCTCGGTTGGTAATATACAGAAAATTCTTATTTAACATTGTTTTGTATTGCTAGTTATGGTTGTATAATTTTTGTATAATTGGATAACAATATTTTTTAAAAAACAAGAATCTTGTAATATAATAAACCAATAACTATTTTGAACTTCTAGTTTGGTAGTACTCATCGCCATCTAGTTTAATTTTAAATAATTAAATTTAACAAATTACTCGCATTAATAATGTCACTACTTGTACGGATGTACATTAGAAAAACATCATATGCCAAAATGAGATTTTTATCAAAATTTTTCCTTATCGACTATACATAAAATTCAATGAGTTTCACATG